AGTATGGTGCCGGGTAGATAAACAAAACTTCAGTCCCTTTGGTAGGTACATAATACTTCAGCCCTTTTTGAGGTTGGGGAAATTGAGGCTAGAGTTTGCTACAAAATCATTGCAGGGTCCATAGCCTCATTGACTCTCAAGGTTATCATAGATGACAGCAAAGCCTGTAAAAATGTTGGCCAATTTGTGTTGAACCTCAGGAACCTCAATCAGGAAAATGTGGAGGGAATTGGCCACTCTCTTGAATAGATCTTGAAAAGACTTGAAGTCATCACTGGCCATTGGCAGAGGGAGCATTATTGACTTGTCGGGAGAAGACGATGAAATATGTGAAGGAGACAAAGTGTCCTCCTGTGTGTCCTTCAGTATTCTATCTCCTCCTGTGCAATGTTGGATCTGGTAGATGCAGGTGGTTTAGAAACTACTTCCTGAGGTCTCACTATTACTGTCAATTGAGGTGCTGGTACCTGAGCTTTCAGGGATCCCACCACCACCAAGGTTCTGGGAGTGGGATGGGAGAGAACCATGGGAATGATTTCCACTTTTGGGGTTAGCTCTTGTTGCTACAACTGTAAGAATGGCTTTGGGGATGAGTGTTGTGGGGAAAAGGAGATTTCTTCCTCATCCTCACTATCAACAGAGGAGGGGCCAAGCTTGATGGTTTACCTAGTCTGTTTGGGCCCTTTAATATAGGTGTGGTATCAGCACCGAATAACCGTGTGACCATTACAAACACATCCACCAGCTCTTGATGAGTGGTAAGCAGCTTTGGAGGAAGAAAGACCAGTGCCATTGGGGCAGAGGGCTGGATTAGTTGCAGTACCATATTACCCCGTACCTTCAATGTGGTTGGTACTGGGGAAATTCCAGTACGTGACTCCAGTACCAACTTTGCTGGCATCTGTACTGGCAGTTTTAATCGGCTCTTAGCCACAGCCTGTGGTGGTGTTTTAGGTACTGACTGCATCAGTAACAATGTTGTTGGTACTAACAGCACAGGGGCAGTCTTCTTCAGCTTCATTACCAAGAATGCAGGGCGTGTATCTTTTGAGGACACTGTCCCTTGGGATTTGTCCATACTGGACACATCCCCAGTGCCTGCATACCCCGCAAAGCCTGTACCTTGGATGTTGAAGAAGGCTTCTGCTAAGGGGATAACCTCTTGGGTGGCCTGTCTGCATAAGATGAGGTATGCTTGCTCTTAGCTGTTCTCTTGGCAGGACGCTCCCTCAGTGCAGATTACCATTGGGTCAGAAGCCTCAGTCAGTGAGGTACAGGTTGGAGACGCCTGGGATACCGGTTCTGAGGCTGGCCCCTCTACCTTCTCCATCATGAGGAGTTTTAACTGGAGCGCTCTCGCTTTCAAAGCCCTCAAAGAGAGCTTCTTACAATGATGAAAGCTCTTCAGAGAATGACCTTGCCCCAAACAACAAATACACGGGGTATACACATCAGAGATAGGAATAGATATTCTTCATGTCAGGCACTGTTTAAATCCAGGGGAGCCTGGCATGACTACACTATTCTTAATACCTATTAAAAAGAGAAAAATATGTATTTTTAAACTAACAATTAAACAGGGGGAGGGAGAGACGGGGAACAGGGTAACAAGAGAAAAAAATCAAATACAATAAACTTCTGATAATCCGGCACCTTTAGGACCCAGGGGGTGCCGGATTACCAGATATGCCGGACTATCGGAAGA